CAACTTAAGGAATGTTTCTTTAAATAACACATAAAAGGCAGAGGGAGGGAGGGAGGGAGGGAGGGAGGGAGGGAGGGAAAAAAGCCAGGCCTCAAGAATCACTTGAAAACATTCTCAACTAAATGAAAGTCCAACACATCCAATTTTCCATTAGTGCTTTGTGAATGATTTTCCTCAGCTTTTTGCGTATATTTTTTTTTAAAAAACTGATTTAAATGTTTATCTCAGAAGTCCACTGCTTCGGTTTCCTCAAGGATGGTGTTGACCATTGTTAAGGATCCTTCAGTGTGCTGCATTTTTTATTCTTGCATGCCTTGTGACTTTAGTCCAAAATTATTCGAAGGGCTAGAAAGATGCTCAGTGGTTAAGATCAGTTGCTACTTCTGTGTTGGACTCGTATTCAGACATGAGCATGAGCATCCACAACGAGCAGCTCATAAACACCTGTAAATCCAGTTCTGGGATCCAACACCCCTGCTGGTCTCCATAAGCCTTTTTACATAGTGATGCATTCATATCCACTCAGTCACACATACACAGATGAAATAAAAATAAGCAAATAAATTAGGTAGGGTAATATAATTTGGTGAGTTGGGAGATTTATTAACTCTCCTCGAGTCCCTAGGATTTACTGTTTTGGCAGCAAGGATTTCACAAGAGGTTTCCAGAAATAACAAGTTTAAAAGCAAAACAATCTCCCCCCCCCCCGCACGCGCACACACACACACACACACACACACACACACACACACACACACTGCCTAGTCTTTGCAACCTAGCTCTGTGATTGGCTACTACCTTAACATTCTTCTTGCTATGCCCTGTTTCTTACTTTCTATACAAATTAAATCACAATTCTACAATTCATTATTTCTTTGAGTTTTAGTTACCCCTTTTTCTTGTTCTTATTGGGAGCATGCAGGCATGGGGGGGGGGTGTTTATGAGACAGGGGTATCACTATGTAGATGCATGCAATGATGAAAACTTATGGTCTTAGGTTTTCATAAACATGTATCCTGACATGAATCCACATGACTTTCCAAACTTTCCTGTATACAATGATGCTCTGACTGTCCTGATATTTCTGGGATGATACTAAAAATTAAAATATCTCCCCGAGACATTTTATCTGAGACCTCAGGAAGGCTACTGTATAGCTTCTCATATGTTGTACAAAGCAACTACAAGATTTTTTTTCTATTTACCTTAAAATATTTTCAATCTATGTCTACTGCCTTTCCATCATAAAAAGTACAATATATATATATATATATATATATATATATATATATATATATCCTACATCACTTCTTCAAGTAGCTCCCCAATAGATTAGATACACACACACACACACACACACACACACAAACACAGAGTAACCTTCAAATAAGATCTGCACTATTCCCTCTGGGACCGGGAACCTGCACCCCACACTGGAAATGCAATTGCTATCTTTATGATTGCCGTCAACCAAGGAAGAAACTGGAACACAAACTGGGTTGTGGGGGGTAGCTGTTTGTTTTATTTTTGTTTTTTGTTTTTAAGCCATAATGCTATATTCCTTTACTCTTACTTGGCCTTTTCTTGTTTTTGTTTTGAGGCATTCGTTTGTTTTGCTTTTTGATGTAGTTCTGACTGGCTTAGAGATCTCTCTGTAGACTAGGCTACTAGCATCAACTCCAATGGGTTGTCTCTTGACAATCTATCTTCCCTTACCTGCTGTGGCCCTTTGTTTTCACTGGGAACCCAGAAGATCCAGCACCTCAGCTGCTTTTAAACAATTCCACAGAGAGTTATAGCTGCCTGTTCAAATATTTTGCTCATGGACTGAGTTTTACTGATTGTTTCTGTTTGTTTGTTTGGGCAGTGCTAGAGACTGAAACCAGGACCTTGTGTAATCTAAGCAAACATCCTACCACTAAGCTGTATCTCTAGCCTAAATATTTATTTTTTGAAAAATAAAAAACTCATAGCAAGCAGAGACTGAAATTTACTGATGATTTAATTTTAGGTACTATTTTAATTTTAATAATTTAATATGGAAAAAATCTACAGTGGCTTATTTTCAGAAATATCTGAGTTCCACGATTCAAACTGGATTGTGACTGTCACATAAAATAGTAACAATATATATTATTTCTTAAGCTTATTTTAATGATTTTAATATTAACAATCACTTCCTTGAAAACAAATGCTAGATGATAAAATATTAAGAAAACTATATGATAAAATATTAAGAAAACTAAGATAGCTTATTATACTTAATTAAATTGCTCTTCCCCCAGATTCATGACTATAGTCTAAGACAACAATGATAGAGATACAACATACTCATAAAATTTTTCCATTAGTAAGATTATATGGCATAACTTCTAAGGAGATACAACTATCAGTATTCAAAGAATGATACTGTATAAAGAAGATAATGTTCAGTCAAAATAGCCCAATTGTTGGCAAGTTAAATCAGCAGATAAAAGTGCTTGCCACCAAGTCTAGTGGCTGGAGTTAATCCTTGGGACCCAGAAGAGAGATGGCTAGAGTTGACTGCTGCAAGTTGTCCTCTTCCCTCTACCTGTACATCATAGCATGTGTACACACACACACCAAATTTACATGGTGCGGGAGGCAGTAAGGTGGCCCAATGGATATAGACACCAGCCACTAAACCTGACTACCTGAAACCTACACAGTATAAGGAGAGAATTAGCTACCTCAAGGTGTCTCTAGCCTCTACATGTATACTATGGCACATGGACACGTGCTTGTACACACACACACACACACACACACACACAAACCAAATGAATAGGAAAAACTTTTTTAAACAGCAAAAGTTTTAAGTATATCATTATAGTCTGAAAAGCATTATCAAGCTTTTTTATTTGAATTCAATACTTTAAATATCAGTCTTGATCTGTTAAAGCTTTAAATTGAAATGCTTTAAGTATTGTTTAAAAAAATAACTCAAAAACCATATACATATCATGTTTGTTAAAACCAGTAAAAATTGTAGCACTTATGAAGGAAAGATAGTTCAAAGACATTATCAATAAAAAGCACGTGTGCATTTCTGAACCACTTGTCAGTTTATTGTCAGAAGTGAGAGGTGAATCAACAGTCAATTAACTGCAAAATTATTGACTTCAAGGAAAGATAATAATTACAGAAAATTGTCAATCATGAATAGCTCATCATAAAAGTATTGGTTTACTAAACCATAATACACTCCGCAGCACAATTATCAAATATCAGCAGGTTATAAAATTAATTCACTAGGTGGGTGGGTCAAGGACAACATTTATTTACCACAGTAATATAGAATAAAAAAGGAAACAAAGGTACAATGCACACAAACCCTTAATTGTTTGTGTCTACATAAAATCCGTTCTCTCTCTACTAACCTAGTATGCCAGTTTGTCAGTCAGAGCAATCTATATAAACAGCCCAGCCTTGGCCACACCTTGCCACAGCACAGGTGAGAATGGGAAATAGGTACTCTACACTACAATGGGATTCCTATGTGATTATTCAAGAACAAAATTAGCTATGGAGGAAATAGACAACTTTCCTACTTCAATCAGAATACTGCATTATATGAAGCTTCTTCATAATCCAAAAACCAAATATCAAAACAAGTTATAAACTCTTAAAATGACTCACATAATAGAGATTTACAAAATCAGTTTCAAAGTTGCAAAGCTTTTAATATTTGATTGTTGATTGTTACAACATAATCTGTCCCTTAAAAAACTTGCTAATTTCCCTCTGCTTCAACCACAACTCTGACTTCATTCTTTTTCACACGTATTACTCAGAACATCCCCATGAAACTGCTAATGTGAAGCCTGTTGTGTTACATGACACTTAAATATGCAAAGATAACCCAGCTGTTAATACACTGACATTTAAAAAGTTTCTCTGTGAACTATGAAACGCTGAAAAAAAATCCCATAAGAAATAAAATCATGCTACATCCATAAAAATGTGTATTTCTCCAGAAAAGAGTAATTTAATTGATTTTAAGAATGGTATAAAATGCTTTACTTATCCAAGGTAGAAATGAAATAAGAAAATATTAAAATAGGAAAACTGTTACTTCATAGCATGCCTGGGCAATGACCCAGGCTCCCTTCTTTGCATGCAGGTGACATCTTTAATAAACACAGAGTGTAGTCACACTCAGTAGACTCCATTCAAGACCTCTTCCCAAAGTTCTCCTCATTCAAATTTCAAAACATTCATATATAATACTTCAACTTCATGAATGAATAAGCCACTCTCTCAGGAAATGTTAAATGCTATTCCAAAAGGAAGCGTAGGGATGCACAGATGGCTCAGGGGTTAAGGGCACCAACTGCTCTTCCAAAGGTCCTGAGTTCAATTCTCAGCATCCACAATGGTGACTCATAACCATCTATAATGAGATCTGGTGCTCTCTTCTGGCCTGAAGGCATACATGCAGTCAGAACACTACATAATAAATAAACCTTTTTAAAAAAGTGTAATATTGAGCTGATTTAATTCCAATTATTAAGCCAAATACATGCAATTATCACTTTTTTCTTATTTTATGCTCTTCAATGTGAACTTCCATTTATTCTTTAAAAAACTGGTATTTTAAACCATGTTTAAAATATGCCATCTGATAACATAAAAGGGAAATTAAAAGTTAACTTTTAAAAACTTATTCTGCCCAATCCAAATACTGTAACTTAAAGCAAAATCTGGTATAGATCAACTTAAAAAATAAATAAATAAAAAGAAAAGAAAAAAATAAAATTTAAAAAGGAGTTAATAAAATGGTTGGTCGCAGATATTAGGCACTTGGTGTAGAACACAGCAAAATTAAAACATCTGACCGTCACCACCTGGCTAAGCAAACAGTCATCACTGCACAGAAAAGATGGCTCGTCATTTGTAATGCAGCAACCATTCAAACTGTTGCTGCAAAAGGTTTTTAATTAGTGTGTGAAAGCACTGAATACATGCCATTAGTTACCTGCTTGAGTCCTTCATCAGTAAGTTTGTCCTGGTTGCCTACGTGAACTTTCTGCAGTAAAGGACAGTGAGAGGCAACTGCAATGATGGAGGTGTCGGAAAGCTGTTTACACCTGTAGGCTGTATACCTAAGAAGTCCAGGACACTTAAATGCTAAGACACACACGCCAGTGTCAGACATACTGCGACAATCAGAAATGTTGATTTCAATTATATTCTGACTTCTCGATGCAATTTTTTCCAATAATTCATCAGTAACCTAGGGGAAAAAAAGAATAAATTAAACTTTGCTCAAAGGGGAAAATTACTTCGTATAATTTCTATCAATAAGTAATAATTGTATTATAGTATGTAAAACACAATGAAAAGAAAAATTTTCTTCTAAAGTATATCAGGAACTGTGGTATAATAAACCATATATATATATATGTATACACATACATATACACTTTTTCTTTATTCCCAGTTTCCAGTACAATTTCCTAAAATCTTTGGAAGTTTTTTTTTAAATATTTATTTATTTGTTATATATACAATATTTTATCTGTGTGTATGCCTGCAGGCCAGAAGATGGTACCAGACCTCATTCCAGATGGTTGTGAGCCACCATGTGGTTGCTGGGAATTGAACTCAGGACCTTTGGAAGAGCAGGCAATGCTCTTAACCACTGAGCCATCTCTCCAGCCCCTTGGAAGTTTTTGAGTGTTAGAGTGTAGCACGAATAATAAAAACTCAGAGACAGATATTGGGGTTCAACCTGAAGATTAGAGAAGTCACTGGCTATTACTGCTACCTCAGTCCAAAGTGGCGACCCTGCCTCCAGGAATTCTGAGACTGAGACTCAGCAGGAGACCTGTCTACTTCAGTCTTATATTCCTCTTCAGTGCTGGTATTAAAGGCATGCACTAGCACCACCCGGCTCTCTGGTTAACTAGTGTGGCTGCTGGGATTAAAGGTGTGTGCCACCACTGCCTGGACTATATGGCTGACTAGTCTGGCTGCTTTGCACCCATCTTCAGGCAAGCTTTATTTATTAAAACATAAGTAATCTACCACCCTTTCAGAGTCAGGTTACTCAGAAGCATCTGAGCCTTCCTGAACAGAGTAAAAGGTGAATGAGAGAGGGGCTTACAGCTGCAGGATGAAGTGTGGTCACTATAAAGACCACCATGGAGCGCTAGAGACGTAGTTCAGTGGAAGAATGCTTACCTGGCATGCAAGAGTCCTGGGTTCAAACTCCAGTAAGGAAAACAAACACTAAATAGCTGATCAGAGAGTAGATCTGTCATCCCTCTAACCCCCTAAGGAGGTTAGACAAGTTTGCTGGAGATTAGGCAAAAGTTAATCATCAATACTGAAGGGCTAAAGACTGGAATATCCCTATCTTGACTTGTAACTTTTCCATGTGGATGTTTCTGATTGTATCCTTAATTAGAAATCAGAAAACAGAAGTAGAATCTTGTCCTATGCTCACTGGACAGTTGTAATTACATACCAAGCCCAAGGTGATAGCTGGGGCACCTGAGCTTTCACTGTTTGCTAGAGAATGGCTGCCTCCTAGGATCTGCAAGTGACATACGAGGGCAGGCAGGGTTACAGGGCCTTAACCTACCGGGTCTGTGGCTGTTGTATGGAATAAGCTCCATGGATCTGATCCTAGATGTGCTATCAGAACACAACGAGAATGTGCATTTTACTTTTCATTAGACCCCTAAAAATCAATCATTTGGGGGCCCATTTTAAACCTTCAAGCTCACCAAAAACTACAGACAAATCTACATTGAGATTTAAAATGTTTGAAAACTAAGCAATTATTACATATAAATCAGCATGATACACAAATTGGTTTCTGGTTTAGTTTGGTGTGTTTTTATTTTGCGGGGAGGGTGTCATGGTTGTGTTTTCTGGTGCGAGGAAAACTGACCATAGGGCCTTGCACATAGCAGGCAAGCACTCTACAACTGAGCCATATTTCTAGCCCCATGAACTGAGTGTTTATACTTGGTATCCAATGACAGCACAGTATGCAAACTGCAAGTTTTATTGCTACCAGAATACCACCTTGCAGGTAATAAATTCATAGCTGAGAAAATGCATCACTGTAGCAAAACATCAAAGGCTATAGAATTGTCCTTTTAAAAAAATCTTTACTCATAAGATTCAATACTAAATACAAGTAAAACATAATTCATCTGGCAAAAAAAAAAAAAACCCTCACATGGCCACCTAATTTAAAATAATAATAAAATGTCAGCCATACATGTTCCCAGCCCAATCACCATATTGAAAGAGAAATCAGAGTTATGTTATTCAAGTTCTTTTGACAAAAATAAGAAAAAGAGAAAATGCAGCTAAAGCTTAAAATGCAGAAAGAGAAAACTAACTTCTGAGTGTGCTGGGAGTGAGAGTCCTGAACAGGGCCACCTCTGGGGGTGTCTGCCGAGAGGAGCTTGGTAGCTGATTGGTGTGAGCCTAGAGGAAAGAGCTGAGTTAGGAGGGGGTCAGGGGTCACCTCCTATTTGCCTGACCTCCATTTGCACCATTCCTGCTATACAGATAGTTCAGGAACCCAAGCAAGTAGGCAACTAGCTCTGTAGCCGTCTTAGCCTCTTATCAATGAAGAGACAAGACAGAAAGGCTTACATATGAACGCTCTGGAACTTGCTCAATCTGTTAAAGTGTGGTTCATACACAAACTACCAGTGGAGTGTCAGCACGTGCTTAGACCACCTCACGAAAGCCTACTACATGTGCATCCTAGCAGTCTGCACTTGACAGCATAAGGCATGGGGGGGTTAGTCGGACTCTAATAATTAGCAAAGGTTACAAATCTGCTTCTTGTTTAACGAAACCTCTGTCATCAACTTCCCAATGCACCAATGATAAATATCATGCAGAATTTAGAGCAGTTTAGGATTCCAATAAAAATAATAGCTTTATTGTATGTTTTCATATATTTCTAATGCAAAATACCAACTATCGTTTAAAGAATGAAGCCAAAAGTCTAATAAACTGTCTGCAATCAGCACTATAAATTTCGTCTGTTTTCATAATCTATGACACCATGTAAGTATACTGGAACAATTAAACAATTAGGAAATTTGAAAACTGCCAAATGGAAAGTTGTCTGTTTTCAAAAAGATTATTTTAGCCCAATTTACTGCTGTTTATCCATAAACAGGAAATAACAGCATCTCCTACTGAAGTTGAAGAGAGAGCCATGAATTCTTATGTGGAGGCCATGACACGGGACAGATGCCTGTGTACCAACATTCACTACTATCAAACTATTAGGATGCAACCTCCCTAAAGGAAAAGTTCCTGGTTTTGAAATGATGATGATGATAAAGAGAGATACAAAAAAGACTACAACACAGAGAAGAGTCACAGCTACCAGTCTACATTAGAAATTATCTTTTCCAGCGGATCCAGACCAGGGACATTTACGGAAGCAGGACTGGGCCAGAGACCTAGGCTGGAACAAGCCTGAAGCAGCGACCTAGCCCAGGGCCTGAGACCACAAGCTTCACAGAGCAGGAGTGGATCCAGACCAAGAACATTTGTGGAGGCAGATCTGAGCCAACCTGGCCCAGAGCAGACCTGAGACTGTGAACTCCACAGAAACAGGTACAGAGGAGCAACCGCTGAGCGAGTGGGCCAGGGCCAGAGCCAGAGCCAGAGCCAGAGCCCAATGCAGGTTCAGGTGTGAATCTGTGACCTTCAAGGGAGTAGACCTGAGCCAGTGCCAGTACCCCCTTGCAGGTCTGAGGAACTAGGCCTGAGCCAGGACCCTCTGAGGGTCCTGCATGGGTCTGGGTCCTCCAAGGGAGTAGGCAGGAATCAGAAACCTCTGCGGGGGAGGGGGGCTGGAGAGATGGCTCAGTGGTTAAGAGCATTGCCTACTCTTCCAAAGGTCCTGAGTTCAATTCCCGGCAACCACCATACCATCTGGAATGAGGTCTGGTTCAGACATTCAGACAGAATATTGTATACATAATAAATAAATATTAAAAAAAAAAAAAAAGAAAAGAACCGTCTGTGGGTCCAGGCCTGAACTGGGAGCTCAGATGGAGTAGGCCTGAGCCAAGTCCTCTGCAGGTCCAGGCGCAGCCAAGTCTGGGACCTCCAAGGGAGACAATAGGAGCCAGGACCTTTGCAGGACCAACCCCAAGCCAGGGACCTCCGCAGGAACAGATCCAGACCAGGGACATTTACAAAAACAGGTCTGAGCCAGCAACCTAGACCAGAAAAGGCCTGAGACAGCAAACTCCACAGGAGTGGAGCAAACCCCAGGAGCACTGAGCAACCTCCAGGAACACGGAGTGACCAATGGGATAACTAGAATCCTGACACTGACTGTTCCACGAGGAACAACCATCTGAGCCTTGGATGCACTGGCACCTAGAAGATTAATCGCCAGAGGCTCAGACAGCCCAAACCATACCAATTAGAGGAAAAGATAAATAGACAAGGTAAGAACACATGCAACACCACAATGAGCAACATAACACCAGTAAAAATCTAGAAATCCTACAACAGCAAACATTGAACAACCAAATAAAGATGAAGCAAAAGAAAATGACCTGAAAAATAACTTCAGGAGAATGTTTGAGACTCTTAAGGAGGAAATGAGAAATTCACTCAAAGAAATGGAGGAAAGGACAAACAAAAAACAAAAAAACTGGAAGACATCAGCAAATCCTGTAAAGAAAACCAAGAAAAAGAAATCAAACATATAAAAGAAACTATTTAAGACTTGAAAATTGAAATAGAGGGGCACAGGAGACCACTTCCTAAGTATAACCCCAGCACCACAGACATTAAGGGCATCATTGAATAAATGGGACCTCCTGAGACTGAGAAGCTTCTGTAAAGCAAAGGACTCTGTCACTAAGACAAAAAGGCAACCCACTGACTGGGAGAAGATCTTCACCAACCCCACAACTGACAAAGGTCTGATCTCAAAAATATATAAAGAACTCAAGAAACTAGACCGTAAAAGGCTAATCAACCCAATTATAAAATGGGGCACTGAGCTGAACAGAGAATTCTCAACGGAAGTTCAAATGGCCAAAAGACACTTAAGGTCATGCTCAACTTCCTTAGTCATCAGGGAAATGCAAATCAAGACAACTTTAAGATGCCATCTTACACCTGTCAGAATGGCTCAAATAAAAAACACCAATGATAGCCTTTGCTGGAGAGGTTGTGGAGAAAGGGGTACACTTATCCATTGCTGGTGGGAATGCAA